TCTGGAGTCCGGAAGAGGCCGCCCAACCTCGGGAAGCAGACGAGGGCCAGGAGGAGCCCAGGGAAAGCGGGACCTCCCTCCCACTGGCCCATCTGGACTGGACGGTCACCTCTCCTCCCCCCAGCCCCTCCCCCTGCCTCTCCATCCAGGGCCCGATGAGAGGCACCTCGTGAGCTGTGGCTCAAGTAGTAGAGCACCACCCTTGAGCAAAAAGGCCAAGCAAGAGCACGAGGCTCTTAGTTCATGCCCCAGTCCCAACACATGCACACACACTCACATGCACGCACGTACACACGTGCATACACACCACAGGCTGGGCAGTCCTCGGCCCCTTGGAGTAGTGCGAGATCTCCCACAGCGAAAACTGAACTTGGGGCTCCCAACGCCCGACTCCTCTCTTCACTGAGCCCCATTAGCCACCTGGAAGCGCAGGAAGGAAGGCGTGAAGGGGTCCCCCCCGCCAGGCCCCCATCAGCCCCTCCCCTTGATGTGGCTGTAGGCTCTTTGCTTGCCCCATCCCTATGTGGTCTGGATGGATGGCTCAACCTCCCTGAGCCTCAGTTTACCCCCCTGCACAGGAAGGGCAACAGCAGTCCCCCAGGGGACGGGGGATTGGCCCCCTCCCCCTCTGCACCTGGGAGCCGCAGGTCTGCCACCCTTTGCTTCTTGTCTTGCGGGGCTTTGAGCCTTTCGAGCCCCGAGCTGAGGGGTCTCACCCTCAATTAGGTGTTGAGCATGGTATTCTGCTCAGCTCCGAGTATTCTAGAACTTTGCCGCAACGCACCGAAGGTCATGTCTGTGCCCCCGGCAGCATCTGAGCGCTGTCTTCCAGCCAGAGCTGGCTGGCCGGGCGCTCCTGCCCGCGTCGGGTCTGCCCCGCCTCTGCGGAGCCGCCGTCCGGGCAGGGGCAGCGCTTCCACGGCGCAGCCACCAGATGGGGCCTCTGCCTGCCCTTAGGGGGCCCAAAACGGGTTTCCAGAGCCTCCTGGGAACAGAGCCACTCGGGTGCCAAGGACTTAGGGGACTGAGGATCCCACTTAGCAGCCATGCTGTTGGGGGAGGGGGCAGAGAAGGATGTGTCCCAGAGTGGAAGTTCCTTCTAGGGATACAGCTGTGGGTGAGAAACTGGGACTGAGACTTGGGGCTGGCGCCCAGGCTGTGGAAAGGCCTAGAAGGAAGGGACAGGAGAGTAAGAGCGTGGATCTGGCCCAGGCCTGGGGGGGGGGGGTGTATCTAGGTGGACCATGATGCAGAACCTCCCTCTGCTCCTGTCCCTGCTCCTGCTGCAGGCCTCCAACCTCCCCCCGGCTCTCCACCTGCACCAGGCTTCTCTGTGGCTGAGTCCCTTTGTCCTTTCCACCTGTCCTCACCTGCCCAGGCCTCTGCTGCGCAGGCCAGGCCTCTAGGCCCACCCTCTGAGCCACACCCTTCCAGGCTCTTCCAAGAGTCCCTGCAGGTCTCCAGCCCCTCGTGCCTCCCCAAGCCTGGCCCTGGCCAGCACTACCTTGACCCTTCAGGACTTCAGGAGGTCAGATACTTCCTCAGGCCTCAGTTTCCTGTAAAGTACAGTGTTAGAAACAATCCCTCAAGCCCATCTCAGCAGAGCATGTGGTAACTTGGTAGCTCTGGAGTGAGGAGGACGGGAAGACCGGCCGGGCGGGCTTGCCTCTCTTGCCCTCTACCGGAAGACACCTAGGCATTGTCAAGCCAGGCTGCTCCTGCCCAGCCATCAGGATCCTCTCTGATGCCAGCCAGCTGCCAGTGGCTCACGCCTGTAATCCCAGCTCCCCAGGAGGCTGAGCTCTGCTGATCATGGTTCAAAGCCAACCCAGGTAGGAAAGCCCATGAAACTCTTAGCTCCAATTAACCACCAAAAAATAAAAGCCAGAAGTGGAACTGTGGCTCAAGTGATAGAGTGTTAGCCTTGAGCAAAAAAGCTCAGAGACAGCGCCCAGGCCCTGATTTTAAGCCCCGGGACTGGCATAGAAAAAGAAAATCCCCGGATGCTTTTCCAGCCCCGTGGGGCCCAGGCGCTGTGCTGTGGCTCTGGATTTCAGTGGTTTCCTGCATGGTGTCTGGGTGGGAGCGATCGCCCTCTTCACAGTAAGACTGGGGCCACTTGAAGCCCAGGTCCCTTCCTCCCACGGGCAGGACGCAGGCCTTTGGGGGAGCAAAGCCTTGTGAGATATGAAGACCTTGTAGGCCTGAGGTCCCCCGTTGCAGGGACCCCAACCCCACTGGGAAAGCCCCTGACAGTGACATCTCTTTCCCGGGAGAGCCCGGGCCTGCCTGGGCCACGCTGGTGCCTGCAGTGGTAGACAAAGACCACCAGAGGGCGCCAGTGTCAGCGGCTGTTCCGCTGGATGGAGCTCTGCGAACCAAATGCTTTTTAATTGAAAAAAAAATTTTTAATTCAAAAAGGATTTGCTGTTTGTACTCGAGTGCAGGTTTTCCTTATGCAGGAGACTAATGTCTTGAGTAAACAGATCCGGGCCCAAATCCACCTTCAAAGGTACTCACTGTTTGCCCAAGGGAGTGAAAGGCCTTCCAGAAGCAGCTCTAGTCTCTTGGGCAAACATTTTTGGGACGAGCAGTCCTGGATGGAAGACAGCGTCTGGGAAGGTCATCCACAGCCTAAGGGGGATTATGTCGGGGGACATATGTTGAAATTTCATTTGGGGAGTTAGGGAAAACAAGGGGGGTGATGTTTGTCTCCAGCCAAGATAACCTAAAAAGGGGGGGGGGTGGAGGGGAAATCCCCAGGGAGGCACTCAGCAATCTGTGCACTGCCCCGAGGCTGCCCCTCCCCTCCCCCAGGTTCCCATGTGCAAAGGAAAGTAAAGGAAGCAGGAAACTAGCAGTCCCTTCCGTGCCCCCACCGTGAGACCCTGTCCTGCTCCTACTGCCCAGCAGGGCACCTCTGCCTGCTCGGTCAATCGCTGCCCACCCACTACCCAGAGAGCTGGAACACCCTGGAGCTGGGGCTGACCCCCCCATGGACTCCCTGCCACCCAGGGCTGGCAGGGCAGGGCCTCCCAAAAGGGCTAAAGAATAGACACATTTGAGGTCACCAAGCCTCGACCTAGGCCTGCTCTAGGGCTTCCTCCTGGCCGCCAGGGTGAGCGCCCTGCCTCTATCCCTGATCCACTCTGCTCTCCTCCCACCAGCCCCCACCCCCCACAATCCACACCTCTCCTGGTCCTGGAGCTGGACCAGGGATGGCCCAAACCGACCCTGGGAACTGACAGCAGCTTCCAGTCACCTGGGGGGTCTTTGAAAGTGTAGATTCTCAGGATTGGGGGGAGGGGGCCCTAGCTCCGGTGGTAGAGCACCAGCCAATGAGCAAAAGCAAGCATCAGATACCAAGTGTGAGTCCTGGTCTCAGACACAAAGAAAAGGAAAGGAAAATGTAGATTCCCAAGACTGCTGAGGAAGAGTCTCTGCTGGCCCGGTGAGGAGTTGCAGGATCGCTCACCAGGAGATCAGTGCTCCCCACCTCCCCTTCCTGCCTCTCACAGCCCAGCCCCTCGTCCCTGCTTCGCGCACACGTGTCCAGCTGGGCGCTCCTGAGCTCCTGCCCCAGCCATGGCGAAGCGGAGTTCCGCCCTCACCCCAGCCTGCACTTCCTCCCTTGCTTGGGTTAGTGGTTGTGCTCTTCCCCTCACCCCTTCTCTGTTAGACATGGGTACCATCTGCCACAAGCCCCCTTGCTCCCTCCTGTAGCCCCATGCCTGGGCAGCCTGTGTTCCTCCCTGCCCACTCTGAACCCTGGGAGCATGGAGCTCCTACCTGGGCCTGGAAGGTCCCCCTGTATCCCTGGATAGAGGAGGGAACTTATTTGCTGTTTGCTGCTGTGCATTGCCCAAGCAGCCACCAGGTGGCAGTGTTGTCCCAGCCGTTTTCTGAGCCTGCTTTGGCTGGGGCTGCTGGTCACAGGTGAGGCCCCTGGGCCCGATGTGTAGGGAGGGGCTCACTCAGTGAGCGGCAGCAGTGGGCTTCAGCCTCCGCCCCGGACCCCGGGGCTGGGCCACACCTTAGAGTAAGTCCTCCGAGGCCCGGAGAGGCTGAGGCCTCCCAGCAGTGGCCAGCCTTCCCGCTCCTCCTCCCTCTAGGCATAGGCCTGGACTGCGGCACTGGCCGTGTCCACCCTTTGGGGCACCTCCTTGCTGTGAGCGGCTCACTGGGGTTCATCAGGCACGTCTATTCTCCAGGAAGTGACCAAGCCTAAAGGTGGCAGCTCAGAGACCCACATGGCTGCGTGTCCGGGCTGTTCCCCACAGCCCCACGCCTGCACCTCGGCTGGCACAGCCCACGGCGCCACCTCTGCAGGGCAGGGCGCCCATCCCGCGCCCCTCACCTGCACCTGCACTTGAGGCTGAGTGCGCCCCCTCCCCCCCCACCAGAGTGCTCGCCCCAGAGACCCCTCTGCTGTGCCCAGGGCCTGAGTGCAGGGAGCTGGCGCCTCCCGTGAGCATGAAGCTGCTGCAGGTCTGGGATCCTGGGTCAGGACAAGGCCACGCCCCCCCAGAGCAGGCGCCACCTGCTGGGGCTGCCTGGGTGGAATGCAGGGGCTCTCACCAGGCTGTGCTGGCCGGATGGGGGGGAGGGCCTTCCTGGGGCCTCCTGTCACCCCAGAGACTGCCATGCACAGTGCTCACACATTTTCCACCAGAAGTGCATGTCTAGGAATCCCCAAGACCCAGTGGCTGGGTCAGCCCTGGGGTCCTCTCTTGCCCCCAAGGCAGAAACCAGAGAAATACTCTGTGAATTGAGAGGTGCCCAGCCCCGTGCCCGGTGCTCGGCGCGCTCGCGGATGGCATCGGCCAGTTGCGCTGCCCGGCGGTGTGTGTGTACGTGTGCCCGCGTGTGAGTCGCAGCCGGTGCGTCCATACGCTGCCCGTGGGCCCACCCAGCCGTGCCACCCGGGCCTCTGCTTGGCCCTGGGCCTCCCCGAGCCCCCCTGCCCTGACAGCGCCTCCTCTGTCTCGCTCTTCCTGCAGTACGAATACAGCTTCCGCACGGAGCAGAGCGCGGCCGCCCGGCTCCCGCCCAGCCCCACCCGATGCCAGCAGATCCCCCAGTCCTGAAGAACAGGCCAGAGCCGGCCATCTGGGCGGGGAGAAGACGCCTTCTGTCTGGTGCCCACACACTACTGACGGGGTGGCTGGGGGGCTAGGGAACCCCCCTCCCTCGCCCGCCCCTGCCACCCCCTCCCTTGGCACCAGCCAGCCCTTCTCTCAGCGTGCCCATGCCCGCCCACTGCCCCGGAGACTGGCAGCTGAGTGGCCCTGTCTGGCTCATCAGCTTGCTTGATGAGACACCTCCCCACCCCCGGCCCATCATCGTGACTAATCTGTGTGTGCTGTAGTGACCGGCGGCTCCCCGCGCGTCTGTGTGATGACCATTATGCAAGTCCTCCCCACCCAGAGTCACCCCCCAGCGCCAGGCAGCCACCCCTGACGTCCAGTGACGCCTGCCGGCCCCTTTGCTCCTGCCCATCACCCACAAAGCCAACTGCCCCCCTCCTGGAAGACCCTGGGGTTGGCGTTCGGGACACGCAGATGTCCCCTGAGCCAGGGCTGCCCACAGGCTCCCCACCCGTCTCCTGGGCTTTGCAGCAACCCCAAGACAATGTGAGAAGGGTTTTACCCTGCCCCACACCGCACAACCGCGTTCTTCTCCATGGTTCACACACTGGACGTCCCGGGACTGGTGTGGAAGGGGGCCTGACTACGTGCAGGGCGCCAGCCTGGATGTGAGCCAGGCCGCCAGGCGCTGCCCCTCCACTCCTCCTACACCCCTTCAAAGGGCTCGCGTGCAGGATACCACCTGCCAACAACAGCTCTACCTGCCTCGGCCCTCAGGTGACCCCGCATGGTGACTGCTCCAAGACACAGCCCTCGCCGAGCCGGACGCAGCGGGAACAAGGCCCCGCTCAGCCAGGAGACGCCTCTCCAGTGTCCGGTGGAGATTCGCAGTGAACCCTGTGTGTGGTGCAATGGCCACTGTGGGCCCTGCCAGCCCTGAGAGCTGGCCCTCTAGCCCTAACAGGCTGCCTCTCAGTGTCTGGCTGCTGGGGTTCATCCCGAATCCGTAGACTACAGGCCTCCGACACCCCATGTCCCCAGAGGGTCTGCCCGGACGTGAGGCCACGGTGGGTCACCAGGCTGATGACGATCGTTGGGGCCTCTGCCAGCCACGTTCCAGAGATGGCAGCCAGGTAGGGACGGGAGGACAAAGCAGCCAATGGGATTGGCTAAGAGCCACGGCAGGGCCCAAAATACCTCACGTACCTGCGTCAGTCCCTCGGTGGGCACACTGCCTCCTCCATCCGTCAGTCCTGTGTCTTCACCTGCCACATCTTGGTTTCTGTGTGCTGGAAATGGTGACCTTGGGACCTTGTCACCTCCCGCAGGACCTCCAGACCTCGAGGGCCGCCAGGCAACTTGTGGAGGCTGAGGAAGTCAAGGTGCCAGCCTCCGGAGGGGCCGGGCGAGGGCTCACCACAGAGCGCTGCACACAGCTCCCTCGCCGTGGTCCCAGCCCTGTGCGTAGCCACCTGCTGCTTTTCTTATGGTGGCTGGCCCAATGCCGAGAGGCCTGTGTGACCCAGAGAGAGGTGACACCCGGAGGGTGACGCGGAGCTCCAGGCTCCCTGTCCATCTCATTTTAGTCGGTGCACTTTGTCCTTCAACCTCTTCCCACGCCCCAGTGGTGAGACTGTGACGGGTCCCTTCCCGATGGCCTTGCCACCCTCTCGTTGGAGAACGAGACTTCTCCGCAGCCCTGTGGGGCTCTGGGAGGCCCGAGGTGATGACGTGGGACCCCGTGGCAGCGATGGAGAAGACAGAACAGGGGTTGTGGGGGGAAGGAGAGTCACAGAAGAAAGAGGCCACCCCAGTGTCCCCCCGCCCCAACTCTGCCAGGCCACACGGCCCCCAGGAAGAGGGCGAGCTGCGGAGATGTCCAGGACAGGACCGGCTGAGTTTCAGAATAACCTTGACTGTGAACTTCGTGACCACGGCAGCTCTCTCGGATGGAGCATTGACGTGTGGGGTCTGGGAGATTTCAGGCTGCTCTCCTCTTTGGAGGGGCGGGTGGCGTGTGCACGTGTGGATCACGTGTGTGCGTGTGGGTGACGCGTGTGCACGCCTGCATCCCAGCCACACGTCAGACTCTTATCAGGCCGCAGAGGCCGGAGGCGGGCCTCTGGCTCACATCCGTGTACCTGGAGGTGGGGCAGGGGCCATGGGCGCTCCCCACTTAGGGAAAGGAAGCACAAGGATTGTCTCGGAAATGTGAATGGCCCAAGGCGTCTCCCTTGGATCCACCCAACATGTCCCATATTGGCTACCATCCCTGCACGGTGCCCCCTGCCCTCCTAAAAGATCTGACAAGAGCACAGCGCCGGGACCCTCTCCAGGGGCCTGGAACGTGGCGCACGGATGACTGGCAGGAGGTGCTTTGCCCCCGTTCACTTGCAATTTATCAGAAGGTCTCCCCCCCACACACTCAAGTCCAAGAAGAGAGGCCAGCCTCACCTCTGCCGCGTGGAGAGAGGCCAGCCTCAGGTGAAGAGATCGCACCTGCCCTGGCTGCTGCTCAGAGGTGTGCGGCCGCAGACACCGGCCGGCGTCCCCCGGTCAATGAGAAGGCACAGAGGAGCCGGGACTAACGTTCTGAGCACCTCACCCCTGCCAGGCCCACAGCCCGGCAGCCTAAGCACATTCCCCTGCCTCTCCCCGCTTCCAGACAAGACACTCAAAGCAGGACGGGGGGGGCGGGGGGGCGGGCAGGGGCACAGGCTAGGATGCGGCAGGTAAGCTCTGGCTCTGAGGCCCCCCAGACCAGCAGCCTGTCCTAAGCCCAGGCTGGCCTTGGTTTCTAGCCCTGTTGATGGACTCCGTGTCTGTCACCAGGCCCTGGTGGTGCCCACATCACAGAATCAGGATTCCCGGACAGCCCTGACCCCCTGTACCTAGCCAAGCACCCCCCCCCCCAGCTGCTGGCTGCCCCATCACACACCAGCTTCTGAGAAGCAGAGGGGCAGAGGGTCCATGACCAGCATCCGCGTGCCACCGGGCCATGCAAAGCTGGCCTCGCCTTCCGTCTGCCCGCGCCTGACCCCTGCTGCCTGAGGGAGGAGGCCAGGCACCTCCTGCAGGTAGCTGGGCACTGAGAGCCCCGCCCCGCCCTCCACTCTGCCCAGGGCCGCAGGGCCTGCCAAGGGCCACTCGCTGCAGCCGGCAGGAAACCAGGCTTTGTTCTCGAGCAAAGAGCGGCGAGCTGCTGGGCGGCCGCTGGCCTTGGCGAGGACTTTGCTCCCGCGTATTTATTCAAGGTGACTCTACTTGGCAAAGGAAGTCTCACTGTGCGGTTGTCTGTATTCTTAATATAATTTGTTAAATAAACATTTGTTTTAACCTCTTTTCCTCCTGTCTGGCCGTAGTGTCTGAAGCCACCAGAGGTCAGTGTCCCTCCGGGAACGTCCTCCGGCTCCAGCTCTGCCTCTAACGGGCCTGTCCTCAGAGGCAGAGGGCCAGCACCCCGCCTTTCAGCCTTCTAGAGAGAGCTGGCGCCGTCTCTGTGACGACACACGGGCCCAAGGGACTGGGGAGGGCTGCCCTGTCCCCTTGGGTGCTCCTAGAAGGGGGAAAACCACGGTGATCATGGAAGTGGGACCCAGCAAGGAATGGGGGGGATGGTGTTCCTTCACCTGGGGTTGCATGAGCCCCGTCTGGGGTGCAGGGCACATCTAGTTATTAGTGGGCCCAGCCACAACTCTGGGTGCTTTTTCAGACCTCATCTGTCTGCACGCCTGCCTGTAAGTCACTGCCAACCACCCACACACATACATGTATGTGCACATACACGCACGCACACACATGCACACACATGGGGTTTCTCTCACAGCATCAGGACGGGAAAGTTCCTCCCAGAAAGTCCTCTCGTGAGCGGGAGCTGAAGCCCAGTCCTGGCTGTGCCACTCCCTGACCACGTGATCCTCGGCTCATCCCAGCTCCCCGGGCAGCCTGGCGGGTGCTCTCCCTCCCTCAAAGGCTCCCCTGGGAAGGTGGCTGGCCTCTCTGACATGTGCATCCCTCCTGGGGGCTGAGAAACACAGAAAGGTACCCATGAGCAGACCTGGGCCTGGGGAGCGGGCCGCAAGCAGGCCTGGGAAAGACCTACAAGCTGATGCCTGGGTTCTATGGGCAAAACCATACCCAGCAGCCTGGGCCAGTCTGGGGGGCAGCTCAGCATCCAAAGCCACATGCCGCTGAGCCGCAGAGGGGCCAGACCTGTCCTCCCCTCACCCCCACGGGTGGGCCCGGCCTGGGGCCTGGAGGTTTCCCCCTGCAGCCTGCCCGGCTGCCCTCCTCCACACAGACCTGCGAAGCACAACGGAGGGGCCCCGTGATGCCTTCTGTCCCCCACAGCTCTGGCCCAGGGTGGCAGCAGGTCGCAGAAGTTCAGATCCAGCTGCTCTGAGACGGCAGAGGACCGAGGCCGGATGGGCACCATTGGGCCTTCGTCCACCATTGTCCAGGACATGGTGCGTGACTGCCTATCCCTCGTGCAGCCTCTCGGTATGAGGTGACGGTGCCACCCCGGGGACCTGACGCTGCCTTCACCCCTGTGCCTGCCCCCAGCGGACCCTCTCCCTGCTTCTCTGGATACTCACAACCTGCCAACCGCAGGCTGGCGGCTGACACCTCCCCAGCCACCGGCTTCCTCTCCCGCTCTGCTTCTCCCAGTTCAGCTCTGTCCCTGGCCACCCGATGGCACCACCCGAGTGTCTGCTCAGCCGGGCCCCAGAGCCTCCGGTCACCCACGGAGCTACTTGAGGCCTAAGGTCACTGCTGTCCGCTGGACGGTGCTCATCCACACGCGTCTGTCTTGCGGCCGCCACTGTGCCTCTCGGCTCTGGCCTGTGCTTTCCAACCGCACTGCATGTCCGCCTTGGTGTCCTCCCCCTCCCGGCCTGCCGAAGGGGGCGCCCCATCCTGCCTGTCCTGCTCCCACACATCTTCACGCAGCAGACACCCCACCCCGCCCCATGAAGATCCTCCACCCTCACTGTCTTGACAGCCCTCACTCTGAGAACCAGGCCTGCGTCGCTTGGATTTCAGACCCCTCCTTCCTGGGCTGGCTGGCCTCCTGTTGATGCCCCTGAGAATCACATGTGGCTTCCCATGCTAGATTCTCCCATGCTTCTGTACCTTTGCACATACATTTCCTTCTGCCTAGAATGCTTTCCCCCACTCTTCTGCCTGGAAAACTCCTATTCATCCTTCAAAACCCAGTTCTTGCATCTTCTCTATTATGTCTAGCTTACCCCATTACCCCATTGAAGCAAGATAGTAGTGTGTCCACCTTTATGCCAGCAGTGACTTACTCTGTGTCACTGAATTATGGATCCTCCTTCCTCTGGAGGAAGGCATCAGGGTCACATTTACTCTGCCCTCTCCTGACACATACATACGTGGGGCACATAGCACAAGCCCAAGAAAATGGCAGAGTCCAGGGTTCAAAGCCAGTCCAGGCAGGAAATGCTGTGAGACTCTTATCTCCAATCAACCACTCAAAAAGCCAGAAGCAGAGCTGTGGCTCAAGTGATAAAGCATTATACAAAAAAAAAGCTCAGGAACAGCACCCAGGCCCTAAATTCAAGCCCCAGGACAGGCACAAATAAATAAATAAGGGCTGGGAAGGTGGCTCAGTGGTAGAGCGCTTGCCTTGCATGCATGAGGCCCTGGGTTCGATTCCTCAGCATCACAGAAGCAGATAAAGCAGGAAGTGGCACTGTGGCTCAAGTGGTAGAGTGCTAGCCTTGAGCTGAAGAGCTGAGGGACAGCACCCAGGCCCAGAGTTCAGACCACATAACCAACAAAAATAAATAAATAGATTTTTGAATACTCAGAAAAGACAAACCATATCTAAATTAGCAGGCTATCCCATGTTCTCTTTTTTTCCTTTTTATTTTTTTTGGGGGGGTGGTCGGTCGTGGGGCTTGAACTCAGGGCCTGGGCACTGTCCCTGAGCTTTTTTGCTCCAGGCTAGCATTCTAGCACTTTGAGCCACAGCCCCACTTCTGGTTTTCTGGTGGCTGATTGGAAATAAGAGTCACAGATTTTCCTGCCCGGGCTGGCTTTGAACCACAATCCTTAGATCTCAGCCTCCTGAGTAGCTAGGATTACAAGTGTGAGTCACCAGTGCCTGTCCCCCTATACATCTTCATACTCTTAAGATCTCTTTCCTCAAGAACATAAGATCAAGAACAGCCAGGACTCTGTTCTGGGTACCCCAAGAATAGGCCACAGTTTGGTACAAAACTGCCCCTAGCAAACATGCTTCACTGAATTAACACAAAGGTGCCAGTTTGTCTTCACTAATCAAAATTTAAGCAGAAAATAATTAAATTTAAAAGCTATAATTTTTCTGGTCCAAGACTAAAACTCACACTCAGGATCTAACACTTCCTCTCATGGGCTAGCATTCTACAAATTCAGCCACACTTCATGTAAGGGCCTAGCTGGAGCTGTAGACCAGGCACCCAGCTCTTTACCCAGTGGCCTAGAGGAGGTCCGGGAGGGCGGGGAGGTAGGGGGAGTCCTCGAGAATTCCCAGGGGATCCCAGGCATCGTGCAGGCAACCCCACCCCTGGAACCCTGTTTCCTAGCATGGGGAGGGTCGAACCATCTCACACTTTTCTGTAAAGTGGGGGGGCATGCTGCTACCTCCTTTTTGGGCCCAGCACAGTCTGGATGGGGAGGGGGACCTGCTGAAGAACCTCTCCTCCACCAATCAGCTCACAGCCAGCTCACACTCAGCCTCCTGAGTGGCTGGGATGACAGGTGTGAGCCACCAGCGCCCAGCACCAGGGTGCTTTTTTGACACCACATAGAAAATGGTGCCTGTCCCAGGTGGCTAACCCTGCCCTTCCTCTTGGAAACTCGACCGAGCTGTTGAAGGTGCTGTGTGTGTCCAGGCCAGAGTCAAAGCTTCCATCAAAGCCAGCCTTGGCACTTGTGCCTTGCTGGGTACATGTAAAGTGACCTTTGACCCTACCAGACTCCCTAACAGCCTGAGGGGTGCCCCTGGAACTCAACTTCCTTCCCAGCCAGGGCTGCTGCCTGTGCCCACCCCCTACCCCAACACACACACACACACACACACACACACACACGCCAGAAAAATATTTGGAATGGTCTTTGACTGCAATGAGATTAATCCTCAGCTCCCCGACAGTGTCTTTGGGCATGTATTTTTATAACCTCCCTTTCAAATGAGAACCATTTGTCGCTGGGGAAGCCGGCCGGCCCTGCCCGACTGCTGGGCCAGGCATCAACGGCACCTGATTGAATGTCACAGACAGTGAGAGGGGGCGGGGCCGGGTGAGGGGAGCACCCAACGGGTGCGGAGGATCCTCTGCAGCTCCCTGACCTGGCTCCATCTCCAGCCAGTGGTGTGAGGCTCTGGGTTCCAGTCCCGAGTCTTCTAGTCCACAAAGGCCCTTGAGCTGGTGACTC